GGACTTTGGTTTCGATATCATAACCATTTACTCATGATTCGTCACCAGTTTCGACCTTTTCAAGCAAACCTGAATTGCTGTTGATTTCGTTCAACAACTCCTGAGCGATGCTCATGCCCTTCATGCCAAAAATTTCCAAAAACATCTGCAGCAACTTCACCAATGGTGATTCAGAGATTTTCCATAAAAATTTTCTTCACTTCCTCAACATTTTCAATGGTCATCGATGTATTGGGGCGTTCAGAACAAGCGTCGTCATGTGAAATGCTTGTAAACGTTTTTCTGGCTCGGAGAACAATCACCGTAAGCCACTGTCAACATTTCTAATGTCTTCGAGCACTCAATTCCATTTTTACACAATATTTCATGCATTTTTTCGATGGTAGAAAATCACGGAACGTTCGTTCAGTTTCTTGAACAAACCTCGTACAATCCAAAAAAGTTATAGCTCATATTTTGGGTATTTTCAAAACATTCAACTGCTTTTCGTAGTGATTAAACAAGAAAATTGTTTCGAAAACTCTGCATCATGTTTCAATTAAAACTTAAAACTTTTTTAATTGCGAGAAATAAATTTACCCGAATAGAAAATATTTCCCCTTTTCCCATTATAAGTTTTAATATCAAGGAAATGAATTTACAAATTGACGAAGTTTGCATTTTTTAATTGTCTCATTTTCTGAAATGTTAAGGAATTATTTTTTCCTGTTACAAATTCTGATATTGGAACTAGATGAAAATAAACATATTTCAAATAATTCTCCATAATCTGAGGTTGTGATGCTATTTCTGTCAATTACTCGTTATTTAAACTAACGGCATCCCACAAGGTACCGTCTTGGGTCCCATTCCATTTTTCGTTTATTCGAATGAGTTACTACGTCTTAAAACAAACGGTCAAGGATTAAGTTTCGCTGATGATATAGCTATTTTGTACAGAAACTCTTAATGGAAACAGCTCAAACTCTCTGCGGAAACAGATTTTTTACAAGTTGAAAAATGGTTGCCACAAAAAAAAAACTGTCAATTGATCTAGAAAAAACTGAATACCAACCTTTTACGCTCTATTCTAGTAGTCTGCCAAATATGAGAGTTCATTTAACATCGGGCAAAACTATGTGATACCAGAAACACAATCTATGAAATATTTAGGGACTGTTCGATGGACGCTCATGTTAAACATATTGTCGGAAAATTCAAAGGCAATGCTACCACAAGTTTCGGTAATTGTTTCTCTAAGTCCCCGAGTTGTTCCAGATTGCATAACAAAACTTTCGATTTGATAGAGCTTCAAAAAATCAACAGGAGTTGAATCCAGTAAACGAACAGGCCATTCCAACAGGCCGCGAATTTCCATTTATAAATCATCAGTCAGATTTTCTTTTACTTATCTGTATTATCAGTAAAATAATGTAAGTGTATCATCGCTTTCCTTCTAATAATCCACTTCAAATACTACCATTTGCGGTGGATTTCCCTAGTGATCTATTTGAATTCTCGTTGGATTACCGATATAGGTTTCCTTTTGTTATACCCGAGCTAAACTAACAGCAAACAATTAACATTTAGGGAACGCTTGAATTTAATTACTATAATCACTTTCCGAACGAAACTTTGAGCAATTATCCTAATCTAATCCCGAGGATCAAATCGATTCTATTGGATTTTGCAGAATTATCAGTATCAAATGATAATTAGTAATGGCGATTTAACACCATTAATTTTGACTGTCGAATATGAATTTGTTTCTGGATATTCTTTGTGACAAATATTTTGAAGTTTGGTTCAAAATGGATATGGATTATTGAAATTGTAATGGAGATATTTTCATTGTTTCAACACAAAAGAAAATATGCGGTTGGGTTTCTATGCTTTTTTACTATAAAGGGTCATTCATTATCTTGAAATTCCATAGCTCAAAAGTTTTATTTTCTGGAATATCTCAGATTTTTCTCAGAAAATTTTACATTATGATAGACCAAATTATACTTCAAAGCTTACGAAATTCAATATAATTTTTGAACCCCAATTTTTCTCCTTGGGGGTGAAAATTCCTGATTCCTTTTGTTGATGCTTATTCACGCTATACAAAGAACCTTCCTGCTTATTTCAAGATTCTAAATTCAGTAGCTTTGGCTGTACGTTAATATAAGAACGGGCAACAGCTAGTAATTTATAGTTTTACTTCAAAAATACAGTAACTAAGACATAAGCCAACTGCACTAAGTAATGAATAGCTTCGAGAATCGCATTACGTTACCTATGAAGAAATTCGCAAAAACTAACACCACCGTCAACGACGTCTGCCCTCACGCGTCTGCCCGCGTTCGGGTCGCATTCTCGGCGATGGCATTTTATTGCTTAAACCGCCCCTCTACCCCCGCACATCGTCCACCGTCGTCTCACAGTAGATGCGACGCGTAATATCTTACTGCGTTGCGTGATATTCAGGATGGCTCGTTTTCAACTCAAATAATTTGTAGCTCCCGAACCATAAGCTTCAGACCATATGTTCCATACTTTGTTGCAATCTGCTCATCATGAAGCATCTGATAATGCGAAACAATATAGGACGATCCATTTAAAAAAAATTGTTGACATACTCAGGGGGTGAGATAGGGGAAGTAACATCAAATATGAATATGTCAAAATGTGTCTCCCTGTATACTATTGTTGACGTGTTTTTTTATTTTTCCTGAAAATCATTGTACCAGAAGTTGATTGATTGATTGATTGATTGATAGCACTTTATTTCCAACAGGCATTTATGCCGATATGTTCAAACGTAAATAGTTCTTGGAACACCAGTCGAATACTAAATTGATTTCATTTTGTAAAATTAAGCAGTCTTCATAATTGTCAATTACTTTGTATAGCTTTAGATCATTAGCGTAAAGAAGTTTTGGGCAGTTAATCATTTTCGCCAGGTCATCAATGAAAAGCAGAAAAAAAAGAGGCCCCAAGTTCGAGCCTTGTGGTACCCCTGAGCTAGGTGTGTACAAAGAGGACTGAAAATTTTCATGTTCTACGTATTGCTTTCTGTCAAAGAGATAGCTTGTTGAAAGATCAATTAAACTTCCAGAAAAGCCAAACGATGATAGTCGTTGAATGAGGATGTAAAAATCAATTTGGTCAAACGCCTTTTGCATGTCCGAATAAACTACGTCAACTTGTTGCTTTTGGTCTAGAGCATCTGAAACATGTTGTGAAAGGCATGCAAGATTGGTCACACATGACTTTTGTTCCACGAACCCATGGTGATCGTCCGATATTATATTTCTGATCGAGCTGTTTTCCAAATTTCGGGAAACGTAGAAAGGTTGAAGATGTCAAGCAAAGGGCTCAATAAAGGGTGGATACAATTTTTTACTAGAAAACTCGGTATGTGGTCCGGTCCAACAACTAGTTTGTTTTTCAATTTCTTAGTGGCCTTAATAATATCTATCTCATCAATATGTTGGATATTTATACCCGGAAAATTGTTCGGAAAGTTATCACAGAGGGAGATATCCGATATGATGTATACACTTTTAAAATAATTCATGAAAGCATCGACGACTTCCTGAGGTTTGGAATAAGAGTTATTGTCATCCTTCATAATGCCGGGAATTCTAGAATTGCGTTTTCAACTCTTGATAAAATTCCAAAAAGTACTTGGATTTCCGTGTATATTGTTTTCACTCTCAACAATGAAGTTTTTATAAGCTTCATTAACTTGTAGCTTGACTCCAGCTCTTAGCCAAATAAATTGTTCTCGATAAAAAGATGTATTATACTTTTTTAAGTTTTTGTGGGACCGCTCTTTCTTTCCAATATTTTTTATAATAGTTGATGTGAACCAGTGCGGATATCTACGGATACGATTAGATTTTAGAGGAACAGTGAACAGTCGAAACAGAATATTGTTCAAATTATGACATGCAGTGTTTACGTCTGTTTGTTCTAAAACACGAGACCAATCTTCATTGGCAACAAGTTGATACATCATAGGAAAGGGTTATTATTATTATTATTCAGTATATTACTGGAATTTTTTCCCAACACCAAATCGTTATTTTTAACACTTCGACACTTGTTTCGATCACCAAGTGATCATCTTCAAAGAGGAAGATTAAAACTAGAAACTAATGCGAGCTAACTCTATTTATGCTATAAAGGTAACCCATACAGGTACACCATCCAGGCGTACCAACCATACATAAATTAATTTTACAATTTTGCCTTATCTATTATTTTACAATATATGTTTATATAAAACAATTTCCAGCTATATAAAAATTAATTTCACAATATTGCCTATCCAAATTTATTTTTGCAATGTGTCCTTATGTAGTAATCAACCCAACAACATTATTTTATTTTAACAAGCTATATAGTATGCTCTTTGATATAGATCCGTCATCGTTGTTCATAATATTATTGTGTTTACTTATTTCTACACTCTCATAGGCATCTAGAACTGAAGTCTATGGAATGGTTTTGTTGCAAAATGTGATGGGCGACTGCTGATTTTTCAGGTCTTCCATATTTTAAATGTGCTATGTGTTCCTTATATCTTACTTCAATAGATCTTTTTGTCTGTCCGTAATATTTTGCATCGCAGTCCTTACATTCAATTTCGTAAATTCCAGACTTTTCCGAATTGTCGACTTTGTCTTTTGGACTTCCCAAAAGGCTATGTAGTGTATGACTTGTTTTAAAAACCACCCTCATACCTAGTTCCTTGAAAATCTTTCCAAAGTTCCTCGTATATTGGTGGTATGGAACTGAGATGTATTTATCTTGATTTTTGTCCTTTCTGAAATGAACGAAATCTCGACTTTCGTTATTTCTTATTCCGTATATAGTTGGCGACATTTCACAAACGGGTATAGCTAACCCATTTTTTTCTTGTAAAATATTTGTTTATTTGTGACACTGATACTGAATATCGATGACCATGAAAATCCTCGAGATAATTAGCATCAATAAGACGGTATTAAACAAAAACATTTCGTGTAGAAATTCTGCGGTATCCCAGCGATTTATCGGCACACGGTTGTCGGTGAACCATGGAAGAACGACACAGAATTAATGCGGCGTCCATGCATTTTCTACGGCCTTTAACACCTGTTGCCTAACTATTACGAAAATATTGAATTTTATGTATATAAATGCCGGCATCAATAACCACTTATTCATTCCGAAATCTTCGGCGAGTTGAGAGAGTTTTAGTTGAACTGTGTACGTGACTGTGAATATCTTTCTATTCTACAGAAAAAGTAAGTTTCATTTGGTGAAAAAAGGATTTTGGGGGTAATTTTGAGTATATAGACAATAGTAATTCTGTTTTTTAGACGTAAAATAACGCTTGAGAAAGCTATTGAAAGCTAATAATGAGTTTTAAAACCATCACGATTTTTTCAAAGCGAAATAGCCAGTGTCTTAGTCAAGTTGAAAGGTTGAATCATGAAATCAATTTGGTATATTTGGGTCAACAACCAACTTAAACCATCTGTAACACTATTTTGTACGGAAACTGGAAGATTTTTTATCATTCATTGATTCTAAACTACTCGAAAATATTCTGGTGTAATTGCTACACTAGTAGCGATTACACCAGAATTTACTAGCAATTAGTGCTAGTAAATTGAACAGTCGAGGAGCCATAGCTCTACATGAATTTTTATGTTATTGTGTATTACTGAGTGGAATATGAAAGTCATTTTTTAGCGTGTGTCGAGTCTATGAAAAGAACTATAATTTTCATATAAATGCAAACAGAATTCGAAAATAACCAATTAAAAAAATTAAAATCTTTATATTCTTGAAGTTACCCCTGCAAGTTGGCCTTTTTGATATACCGGCATGATCTCACAAGCCCAAGAAAAAAATAGGTTCTATTGAGCTATATTACAAAATTCCTCATCCGGTAAAGACAATGTTTGGCCCTTCTTCTTTTAAATTTGATATAGTGGCAATTATTTAGTGATGGTACTGTGTGCCAGATCTTTGGTACATTTGTTCTCTCTTCCTTTCTGTTGAAGTTCTCTTGGTGTTGTGTATTTCAATGGCTTCTAAATACATTCTTGTTGAATAATGATCGATGTTACCACAGTTATCTATCTTAGTTTTTCTGATATTTTCCTCGTTGGGGTTCTCCTTCCGTAGAATTTTCCCTTGGGGAAAAGTGTACCATAAAGTGTACACAGGAAGAAAACACACAAAAATCGATACCTCCTCAATGGATCCAACCATCGTCCAAAACTTTTGAAACAGCTTAATAGTAATGTACAATTGAATTTTCTGTATGCTCTATTCTATTACTTCATCATTAGTATAACTAAAGTCGGGCTACAGGAAGTTTTCAACTCATTACTAATGTAATCAATAAGTTACTCAGTTCAAAAATCAAGTACTTGCATTGCGATCAGAAAAAAACTTCATAATATCAATTGAACAAGTATCCTTCAAAAAGAAAACTTGTTTCCAATTTGTAAACCTGGCCACAGCTCGGATTAGAAAATGCCCGGACTAATTTTGTGTGTAGCCAATAAACACTCTTTGAATGTGTAACTGTAGAAAGCCAACAACTTTTCTCCTTCGCGTCGTCAAATAACCCTGATGGATTCCAACGAAAATTCGAGAACTATTCAATAAGAAAAGGTTTTCCAGGGCCTGCAGGAACAATGGCTAACTTGGCAGTCGCTACATTTCTTTTATCAACGGTCGTCTTGGCTGGATCCATGAAAAGGAGCAGCACATACATCACGAAGTCTGGAAGCGAGGACCTTGAAACGTCAGCCTCAGGATATTCTTATCAGGTTTGTACAATTGGAAATAACTTTTACGTAGACTGTGTTGACAATTTTTCAGTGATCGATGTAATCTTCCGAGAACAAGTTGGAATAATAGAGATGTCAGTGGCAGACACAAGATTTTCACAAAAAGAAGTCGATGGATTTTTTACGTGAAAATTCAGTCTTTTGAGATTCATTTTAAAAATTTTCGGGGTTCACTGAGTGAACAAATATTAGTAAAATCTCTTCTATAATGGATAAGTTGGACCACACCATACTCATTTCAAAATTCAATGAAATTGGTTACGATTATAATCTGCTAAAATTCTTTTATCCCTATCTCACGAATCGGTTCCAGTTTATTGAATACATAGGATACAAATCTGATGAATACAGTGCTACCAATGATGTACCACAGGGAAGCAACCTAGTTCTCCTACTATTCTCTCTTCGAACAAGCTTCCACTCAATTTAAGTAAATGTAAATATACCACCTTTAGTAACAAACATAACACTACTATCCATTAGTTTTCGATAAATTATTATTTACTGGTTAAAACGGACAGCTGCAAAGACTTAGAAGCAGGGCCGTCGCCATGGGGAGGGATGGGGGTACCCTGGCCCCTGATTTTTTGACTTGGGAAAAAGTTGGGAAAAGTTGGGAAATTTTGGGCCGTGAAGATAGAAAAAAATAATAGTAAAAAAATGAAGTTAAATTATAAAAATTTAAATGAGAGAAAAGAAAGGGAGAGGTAATAAGAAAAGGTAAAGAAACGGGAGAAGGTTGGAATTTCTGAGTTGGGAAATTTCGAGCCGTGACGATAGAAAAAATAATAGTAGAAAACAATGAGCACAAAAGTTGGAAAATTTTGAATTCCCTACCCCCCCCTGGTATTTCTTTTCGCTACGGACCTGCTTAAGAGTATTCTTTGATACCAAACTCTCATTCGCACTTCATAAAGAGAAAAGGACTCATATTTAGATATTATAAAGAGTTTATGAACATAGAAAGTTCAATTACTCTCTTCAACTCATTTGTTAGATCCCTTTTAGAATATGGCTATCTTATCTGTCACATATTTATATATACTACTGATTGAAAAAATTATGATGCATAGTGTACGTGATCTTGCAAGTCAGGCAAAAATTTTAAACTTTGAAATTACGTAATGTACACTTCCTGTCACGATATACCTGAATGAAATCCGCCAGCCAATGGCAGTTGAATCTGATGGGCCAGTGTAAGGAGGCTTGTTTTTTCATTTCACCGAATAGATTCAATTGTGCGTGGTTGTCACGCATCTATCATTATTTCAGTTCGTTTGATGGACAAAGTTGAGTATCTAAAAGTCTAAAAATGAAGTATTATATTGTATAGCCCGTGTTAGGAATCACTCGTTAAAAGGTAAGACCTCGTTAATCCTTAGCTCGCATAAGTTTCGATTTCTGAGGGTTGTCGTTCGTAGGGGTGCGGCAGCTGGTTAACGGAAAAACAGACAGAGAGATAGCAGCAACACTGTACACTGGACGCCACGCCGATATATCAGAGTAAAATTGGAGAGGCTGGTTTTCCGCGACGCGATACTTCAATTTTCAATGCAATCGCTTGAATCTGTTTATGAAATATGTCATCTACAAACTAAATAATGTCCACCCTAGACATAGAACAGATAATAATATATTGTTGAAGCGTTTACATTTTCTATCTCTTGATCTCTTAATGCTAGAAGAACTTATCATTCTTGCGTATTCATATACAAACTGGTAACCAGTCTTTTCATTTCACCAAAACTACTGTCTCAACCAGAGTTTCATGTGCAAAGAATCAGTGGTAGAACTGAACAATGTTTTTACTTACCGACATCGAGAACCAATATGTTATTCAAATCTTCCCCATTTGCTATAAATTAAATCAAGTGTGTCAGAAAGTAGACATATATTTTTTTTTGACTGATGCAACCGATTTTCCTTTATTTTCAGTATTTCAATATCAATATAAGTTACAAAAAGGATTTGAAGCTTTATAACTCCTATTTAATTATATGCGAGCGCTTTCGACAGCTGGTCGTGCTGTCATCATCTAAGCTCTACTCAAACTTTTGTTTGAGTAGAATTTCAACCAAATCGGTGTAAGGATGTTCATGAAATTTCATAAATACCTTTTTTTTAAAACTTCTACGGCATGTATCTCAGAAACGAAGCCACTCCGGACAGATGTTCATATATAGGAACTTTTTTTTAAACGACCTAACTAATCACCCTCTGAAGTTTCGAACCACAGATATGAAACACCCTGTATATTTCCTAAAGTTATCACTTTCATCCCAAAATTGTATACTGTGACCTGTAAGTGGGACTAGTGCCCCTCTTGATGATGAAGGTGTTTTATTAGTTTATACTTAAGATATGAGAACCCCTCTCGATTGAAGGTTTTTTACAAACAAACCTGAAGTTTTTCAATTTTTTTGTGAAGAGTTCTCTCCCTGCTACGTTTTGAATGACCCACTCTGTATAACTGTGCTACATATCGATAGTTATAACTCTAGTCGTTTTCAGGTTCAATCGGACAGCCCCTCAGACTACAAATCCTTCTCCGAATCCGAAGAGAAACTGGACGATTTTGGATACCCATCGATTCATCTACGTCGATACTCTGAGCATCCGTTCCTACGAAATCTTCTCCATGGTAATCCAAATTATCTTTCCGATTACAAATCGGACTCTATAGAGCAGTACAAGGATACGCCGTATTCCTACGCCAGAGGATTCGATAAATTTATGGATGATCCTTTGGAGGGGTGAGTTATACACAGAGATAGTCGCTTAATAATTTCTCTTCATTGATCAATAACTTGTTGGAACAACCTTCTGAAAACAGCGTTAATGTTATTCCGTCCTCAATCAACTTTCCAATTTCCTCTTCGTAGTTTCATGTTTAAAAGACATCCATCTCGCGCTGGTGTTTTCATCCAATATTAAAAATTCTGGCAATTCCTCCTATTGTTATACCTTTCAGTAAAATATGATCGGTATTAAAATGCGATTCAGTTTTCCTCTTCCATATTTCCCCAAACTCATATATCAAGTAGGATGAAGCGGGCTCGCCACGACAGTTTTTTTTTATCAAAATATTTCATTTAGTTAGTAATGTGAGTATAAACCACCAGTCAGTGGTTTATAATTTTGATTTAAGTTGTTTTATATTCTTGCACATTCTTGCAAATCTTGAATATCTCTTTTCATCAACGAGAGGAAATGCTGGAACCCCAAAACTTTGATGTTATGTGGTTCAAAATAATATCACAGAAGTCACCAAATTCATATACTGCGTTTATCGACCATCAAGTGATATAGGGCACTATTCTCTCCACTTGCTAACGCCATTGACTTTCTGCAAATCAATCATTCCAGTGCCAACATTTCCATATTCGGTGACTTCAATGTCCGCAATATCGAATGGCTCAAATTTTCAAATATCAACGACGAACAAGGTCGCGAAGCTGAGGCTTTTGCAATAAGCAACGGACTTACTCAGATTATAAATAAGCCAACCAGGATTCCTGACCGTGATGGAGATTATGCTAGTCTTCTGGATCTATACCTTTCACCCAATCCAAAGTCAAAGTCAAAATATGCTCTATTGTCTGAAGATTAACATCTTGAATTGAAGGGGTTATATTTCTATGAGTGATTAATTTTTGGAAAAGAAAATTTTTGTGGCTTTCTATTTTCTATAATGTAATCCAATTTGGTACTGAAGAGCCTTGGGACAAGTGTCTTAAGGCGAAACATCGATGTATACCAGTGAGGATGACAGTGTTCCATGTGAGTGCAATTTGTTACCATTCATTTAAAGTGGAATTCATGTGAATGATATCTGATTTTTATTCCACAACGAATGTTTGAAATACAAACTGAGTAGAGAAAACTATCTTCTGTATAATTCAGTGTTCATATAGAAGTATTTGTTTCGAAATGTTTTCTTTCTTTCGTGTAATTCAAAGTCTATATGAAAATAGCATTAAACCCTGAGGATAACTTTGATTTGAGACTCTTGATATGGTCTTCAAATATCAAATCACTGTCAACAGATAGTCCCAGAAATTTGGTTGATGGTTTATTCTCAACAAAGATGTTGTCAATTTGTAAATTGGTGATGGAACATTTTAAGCAAATTACGTTCGTTTTAGAGATATTGAAACTGAGAAGATTTGCATCACCACCTTGCTAATATCATGATTCATTACTGTTTGAAGTTCAGCGGGTTTTTGATCATGCCATGAAATTGTAGTGTCGTCAGCGAATAGTGTGAACTCTCCTTTAATATCAATGTCAGATAATTTATATACAAAAGAAATAACAGTGGACCTAGGACTGAGCCTTGTGGAACTCCACAGTTTATTTTTCCTTCCTCAGACTAATTAGTCGTTTTAACAATTTGACTACGCTCAGATAAATAAGATTCAAACCAATTGAGACTTACAGCTCTTATACCATACTGTTGTAATTTCCTAAGCAGTGTACCACGACTAACACAGTCAAACGCTTTCGATATGTCACAGAATAAAACAGCTGCAATCACTCCATCATTTAATTTGTTATATAGACTGTACAATAATGAAAAATGGCATCATGAGTGTTTTTTCTACTTTGGAATCCAAACTGACATTTGTTCAATAGCTGGTTTCTCTCGAGAAAATCAACCAGTCTTCTCTTGACTAGTGGTTTCTATAATCTTTGCAAGTGTTGTTATTAAAGAGATAGGTCGGAAGTTAGAAGAGATGAAAATATCTCCACCTTTATGTAGACGAATAACAATAGACGTTTACACAGTCACCGTAAGGTCTCCATTGGGAACTTCTGGCCACAAACTCGTTTCAGTGTTGAGTAAATTAGCGATAAATGTTGGGGAACAATCTAAGTCTGGCAATATAAGGGGTTTTTCCTTCTTGTAGGAAGATTGCTCGCGTTAAGACTATTCCCAAAAAAGGGCAAAAAAAATCTTCCAAATAACTATAGACCAGCCGCTTTGCTATTAGTGATATGAATAATCAGCGACTATTACATAGCGTTACTGGAGAAAGAAGAAAAGAAGAGAAAGGAAGTTATATTTCATCAGGACAATACATCGTATCACAAATTAACGAAAACGATGGCAAAATTGCATGAATTGGGCTTCGAGTGTCTTCCGCATCCACCGTATTTTCCTGATCTGGCTCCCAGTTACTTTTTCCTGTTTTCAGATGAACCTCAACCAAACCATTTTGTTTTGTGTTCTGTAGATAGTATACCTGATTGCACAGAGATTCTTCAAAAAAATCAAGAAAGGATTCTCAAAACAAAGTGAAACGTGGCACAGAAACGAATGATGGGATGTGCATGCATTTGAAAAATTAAACGAAAATCAAAACTGAGTTTGAAAAATGGAAAATGCCACGGATGACTTAAGCATTATAAATCAATAAACATTATAAAAGAATAAACCCCTTCGTTTCATACAATTGATATATTTGCATTCAATTGTTTATAAAACCCTAAACATTTCAGATTCGGAAGAATTTTCAACAAAAAACTTCACTGAAGTATCAGTACTACTGAAATATAATACGAGTGGGACTATTTATATTTCAGGAATAGCAAATAAGAGCAAACATTTTTTAATGAAAACGGCTTTATTGTTTCTCGAAATATTCTCCTTGATGATCAATACACTTTTGCGTTCGTTCAAACCATTCGTCAACGAAGTTTTTCCATTCCTCTTTGGACACCTCCAAAACTTGGCTCTTGAACGCTTCAGCTGCTTCTTCGGCGCTCGTAAATCGCCGCTCTGATATTCGGTAACAAGAAGAAGTCAGTGGGTGTCAAATCAGGACTGAACGGAGAATGAATCATCAATTTGATGTTTTGACTGCTCAAAAATTCACCTGTTTGACGAGATACGTCATGATGGAGAATGATGTGTCTTCGGCGGTTAGTTTTACGAGTTCCTCCGAAAACCTCCGGAAAACAAATGGGCCATGACCACATGGCCCATTCAGTCGAAGAAATGGGCGACCGTTTGCTTCGCTGTGCTTATTCCTCGTCTTGGAATACCCACACGATCGATTGCTACGACCACGATTGAATTCACTATACCAGCGATATATTATAGTTTTTGATGGTGCTTTATTGCCATACAAAGAACATACAAAGAACTAAGTTCAACGACACATTCTTGTTGAGATAATCCACGCCCAAAGTTGTGAAAAGTATTCCAATCTCTAGAAATTTCAATTTTTTTGGTAAAACTGATTTTCTTTACTCACTGTACATCAAAAAGTTAGTTCGTTTATGCTGAAAAATCTCAAATTTCATTATGGTATTACCACATGTTACCTGTTGCCATTAGTGTTGCCAGTTCCTGAAATAAAAATAGTCCCCCATCGTATCCCTTGAAATATAACCCCTTTCAAGCTGAGAAAAAGTTCAATTCAGCCAAAAAATCCCAAAATATAACTCATTTAGTTCCTCTACCATCAATTATGCATTTGAAGTTTTTGGGCTACAAAAAAAATTAATTGAAAATAACATGTCAATTTAGTATTCCTTGAAGCAATTGATAGTTCCACAGGATTCGAGTAAAAATTATTCCATTCTCCTACTTTTCTGCAAAATGGCCCGATCTATTTAAAAAGTTTTGCAGCGCTAGAATATTCATAGCTTTGCTCGTTTTCTTTCCTTTGTTCTCTGGGAGTATTACGCGGACATAAGAGGATGCTGAAATTTCTCCCGATTTTCCGGGTGGAAAATCCTGAAATAACTTCTGAAACAACAAATTAATTCATTATTCCTTGTCGTGAACAACAATTTGGGATAATTTCCTGAATTTAATTCCTTCTTTGCTTCTGGTGCTGAAACTCCGAATTATCTGCAGTGATTCATTATGACCTGCAGTGTTTCAGAGTCTACCCGATTTTTCCTCTTCATAAATGTCCAGTGTAAAGTCTTGAAATCTCACTGTGTAATTTACCAACGATACATCTTCCATCCTAAGTTCATATCACTGTGATACTATCATCCTTTCAACTAGAGAGCTTGATTACAGTATTCGAGCCAAAGCTATTGAAACGTCTACCTAGGTGTTGAATCACATCGGTATTGATAAATCTCAAGATATAGACCAAAAAACTTAGATGGTCTCAAGATAAAGATCATACGCTTAGAAAAAGTTTCAATCTCATGGTCCCGATTCATTAATTAACGATTACGTCAAGAGGACCGCATGTCATTTCAATTGAACTAGTTATTAAACTACCTTTATCTGTTGAAAAAATATCAAATCAATACACTTTTGGAAATACTGTATTATTAAAAGTTCCGACATTTTATAGTAGTTGAAGATATCGACATTATATTCTAGGGTTGTGAAGCATTTGTCAGGAGCTTAAAAAAAAAGATGTATCACAATACCCCCCTTTCCATTTAATTTTTTTCCTAGATGGCGCCTAGTCGCCATCTTAAAATTTTCATCTGTCAATTTCAATATTACTGTAGTTTCTTTTCCCAACACCAAATCATGTTTCGATCACCAAGTGATCATCTTCAAAGAGATGAATTTCAAGATAAATTTCTTGAGGTTCATTGGCGGTAGATTCGGATACATTTCATTGAACTTTCTACATGTTCTGCTGATAATTTCGTCACACTGTCCAAAAATAATAAACAAATTCATAAGAACTTCGTTTGAATAGTTTTGTTCCATCGTTTTGAAGGTATTTGCAACTTCTGAAGTGACGAAAATGTCGATATTATTAAAACCACCTTCATACCTAGTTTCTTGAAAATCTTTCCAAAGTTCCTCGTATATTGCTGGTATGGAACTGAGATGTATTTATCTTGGTTTTTGTCCTTTATGAAAGTCGAGATTTCGTTCATTCTTAACCTAAACTTCTTCTTCCTTACTATGTCATCTACCCCTCGAGAAACCGTTGATGGCTGCTATTTCCTGTATTCTACGTCTTCTTTTGTGAACATATCATATGTTACAGGGAAAGTCAAAAGACGATGCACTAAAAAATTCAACCCAGCACGTTTGTGCTGTCCACAGTGATGTAAACTGTCAGGAATATACCTGTACGTGCTTGTTTCTTTTCTAAATATATCGTATTCTAACCCTACATATTGGCTCCTCATTACGAAAACGTCAAGAAATGGTAGTTGTTCCTTATTTTCTAACTCATACGTGAATTTTATTGATGGACATCTATTATTTAAAATGGAAACAAAGTCGTCAATATTCGATTTTTTGGTATCGAATATCGCGAAACTATCATCCACATACCTTAGCCAAATCCTAGGAAAATACTTCGACTTTTCTTTGGTTTCCATTTCGAATCTGCTCATGAACAGGTCTACCAGGTAGGGGGACAAGGGGTTTCCCATGGCCGTTCCTTCCTGTTGTTCATAAAAGCAACCTTCTACCTGGAACCGATTTTGTTTCATACACAAATTAGTAAGAGAAACGAATTCATCGATTTCGTTATTATTGAAATTATTTTTCTCTAGTAATTCCCTGAGGCATTGCAAGGTCTGTGGAATTGGGACGCTAGGAAATAAGGAACTAACATCAAAAGAAACCAAAATCTCACCTTCTTGCAGAACCACTTTTTTGTATGTTGTATGTTGTCAATTCCACTTCAAAATAACGTATTCATACATTAATTTCATTATCCTAAATTTCAATTTTTTTAGTTGACTCGTTCAAAAAATAAAAGGGGGGCATTAAAGAAATGCACTGTATATTCGTTTCGTCAATATCACTTTCTGTAATTTTCATATTTTGCTCGCGAAATAATTTAACATGATGAGCTATTTGTCGCCTATAAAAAATATCTGCGAATGGCCTATTGTAACTTCAAAAATTAAACTCTCCAAAACAAAGTAATCGTTGTTGAAAATTTAGTAAACTGTGCGTTTTCATGCTTCCATCCTAATGAAATATTTGTGGAGCCAATAATAAGTGTAGGAAAAAGAAAACTGATATCGTGGATGAAGTAGGTATATCACAAGGGTTTGGCTTCGATCAATGAAACAAACAACAAAGACCGACAAACTGATGAGAAGGAAAACCCTAAGTTCAGCAAGGACACACATTTCACGTAATATGTTCGAGAAACGAATAACACATCAAGTAAAGGAAAAATGTTCCGTTCTTATTTCAAAGAAAGTAATAAAAGGGTCTGATTTTTTCAAGTGAATTTTATGATAAAAAAGAAACTGTAGTAAATTCTTTATCCGATTCATATGGGATCCATTTTCTGGATTCATTTCACAGTTTTTTCCGAAATATTATTGGACCTCCTCAATTACCGCCATGTATGGTAAATTTGCTAATTTTCTCCACCTGTTTCAGCATCTTGTATAATCAAACACCTCATCAGCTGGAACAACAGTTCTGGCAAATTTCCCATCAGAAATATGGGAATATAAACCTCATTTCCAACAGGTCAGACACAAAAACACGTTGAACGAAGCCACGTACGACATGATTGAAAATTCCACCGAGTTAATGAAAATTCCACAGAGCAAAAACCAGCGACGTTGCGGGCACGCTAATATAACCGCAGACTGCTAACCTTACGGGCACAGAAAAATTCATCCAAAATGCGTCTTAAATGATGTTTAAGCACAGTGCCAATCTGTTAACTTCAAAAAATTCTATTCGCGAAGTGAATTGTTTTTCCAGAAAAACGCTTTTATGCATCATAGCTTAACAGTCCAAGAGCTGGCTTCGTCTGGCATTTTTAACACACATTTCATTCGGCTCGTTTGCAACTGAAAACGAATCTAACCGAATGAAACACTTTCCTACATGTGAAAGTGTTTCGTGCATGAAATGTTTCATATTTTATTTCGAACAAAGAATACTATAATGGTGGGAATTATAAAGCAAAGCAGAGGAGCTAGAATTGGTCGTTATGCCACTATTGTGAACTGGTGAACCATCTTACTGAAAAATCGTGCTGTGTCTCACATCCAAAGGTAGTTCTTCCCACACATCGGAAAATGCATATTACGAAAGATACGGGGGTGTTTCCATAAGAAGTGAGACAAATTCGGATTTTTCATGACTGACATTTTTTCAGGAAAAAAGTGTATTCGTAGTGAGTTGTTAGTCCTGATCACGAAGGAATTTCGAGCCTATTTTGCCCCCTAATATGTTTTACCGTAAAAATGGGGTGTTCCATCGCAAGTGGCGGACAGTGTATATCACTTTGGCCAACCCCAATCAGGTGGTAGGTGCATTTTGAGCATTTCCATCAGTCCTGAGAGTTTCATTGTTCCACCTCGAATATTACGGAAGTTACGGGGGTGTTTCCATGAGAAGTGAGACACACTGTATAACCTAAACAGGACATTTAGCTCACGAATTCATAAAATACACTTATACAAATGACAGTATCAATAAATTAACAACTATCTTCATTTGTTTCCATAGCATTTTCAAACGATGAAGAACTCAAACGATAAATAGAAAATTTCATCTAATAATCTAGATGCCGATGAAATCAGTCCTAAATAAAAATTTGATGAAGAGAGTTAATAAATACCTGGAAGTTAACGGAAATTTCTCCGAACATATTTTGAAATATTTTTTATATTTTGTATCAAAAACAATGCAATATTTTTGAATGTTCGGTTTTTTTATGAAACATTTTTTTATTCATCATTCATTCATCTGAAAGTATGTCTTCAATGAAAACCATGACGGCAAATTGATAGCTCTGATAAACTTTCTGTATTTGTTCGAAATGAAGGTTTCGTAGCCCGTAGTTTTATAGTGGACTAGCGCATGTTTTATTCTTTCAAGAGAAACAGATATATGTATCTGGTGAACGGTTGATTTAGATATAATACAACAATCATTCAGATATTATGATAATATAAGGAAACGTTATTTATTATTAAAATATTTTATTGATTACTTTGTGTATGTACATATATTACAGCTACCATAAGCCAATTATTACTTTTGTAGGATTAAATAATGATGCTAATAATGTACACAAAATTAGTATCATCATTTTCGAGCCACGTTTCACATATCACGTGCTTGCTGGTTAGATTTTTATAATACTGTCAACAGTATATGTCTAACGCACACTAAATACTGAGCATCCGCCCGACGAAAAGGACAAGTCTGCCTTCCGCTGACGCATGCGTGAGGGAAAAGGAAGCCTCTCATAAGAAGTCATCACTTCAAAAATTTAAAAAATCGCTAATCGAATGTAGATAGCCTGCGAAATTTGAACGTTCACCTCACCTCCACGTACATGTGTATTTTAATTTACTAGTATCACAATGTTTTTCGATAAGACGTATTTCTTGACATTAAATATCCCCAAATATCTCTGTATACCGGGTGTCCCACCGGGTTGAAGGAGATACACAAAAATGTTTCATACAAAAGTTTTAGGAGTTCATGAGAGCTATATTTTGATATAATTTTTAAATATACAGGGTGTTTGGTGTAGGTGCTACAGACCAAAATTCCATTTTTT